ATCTTCCTGATAACAACTATGACATAATAAAAAACTGCAGTTGCCAACCCGCTCGCCAAGCGTGGCAACTATGGCAAATACCCCCCATGAATAAAGACACAAACAGACGGCCCCCAGTCCCCTGCGGCCCCGCTATTCCTGGCTACGGTGATGACCATGGTAACGGCGGGGCAGGGGGTGCTAAGAATCTCCGGTGGAGGCTCGGTTGCCACCTACGACGACTCGACCTGGCAACATATAACGCACGAACCCTGAGGACTGACGAGAAGACACTGGAGCTGGAAGAAGAGGTAGACAAGTTGCGCTGGCATATTATTGAATTATCCGAGGTCCGAAGAGAGGGGAGGACACGGCAATCCTCTAGTCCGGCAACTTGTTCTATCACCGGGAGGGCGACCATCTGTCCCAAGGAGGAGTTGGATTTATCGTCCACAAGTCTCTCGTCAACAACGTTGTAAAGATTAGGAGTGTGTCGACGAGGGTCGCGTACCTGATACTCAGAATCACCAAACGGTATTCGCTGAAGGTCATTCAGGTTTATTACATTAGGTTATTGTCCATGCGGTCGGAGCTAAGTTCTGCAAGACCCGCCGCAGACGAACACAAAAACTCTCCGATCACACTCTTAATCTCATGGCTGTTAGACGGGAGATGAGGCTGCAATCGTCAACAGATTTGACAGCATACAGGCAACTGAATAGACAGATCTCCAAATGCATGCGGCGAGACGAGACAATGAACGGTACGGAAAGGCCTGGGTTTAAAATTTTATCGATATATTTTATCACACTGTCTTATCTCTATTATTAGTTCCGTGGACGCTCACTTCTGCTGTCAGCGCCAAAAAGGTGAAAATCAAATTGCCTCATTATGTCACGGTGAATAGTCAGTCCGTATATTATAGAGGTCAGAGCAGCGGGGAGATTTTGGTTACACTAATTTATTAATCGTATATCGTCTAATATACAACATGTAACATAATTAACGCACATCCTGGAAGTAGTTTGTTCAGAACCGTTTACTGAAACGATTCTTATCATTTTCAAAATAGGTTATTTTTTATCCCAAAAATAATTAAAACTACGTAAATTACAGTCACACTAAATCTGTACAGTCAAAACAAACTGAAATGGAACGTAACTTAAGGCAATAAGACTTTTAAGAGTGCAGTTTTATTTGTATTACTTACTAATTCTGTCATTCAATAAAATTAAAGAAAAATGAACTTTAGTTCAAGCACGTTAAAGTCTTTGCGTTCGTGGATTTGTACTGTGACCACAACATTCTTCCGGAATTAGTACATGATATACTAATTGGGGTGTCTGAGGGTGTGCGTTAATTACGTTACATATTGCATATGATCGTAAGCGCCATCACAACAAGCGGAATTACAGTCGGAATGATTCATTCTAAAATTGAATATATCGCATGCCAAAATTTGTCCAGTTGTGTTTGGGCTTAATACTTACATACTTACACATACACACATCATACATGGACGTACAACCGTAAAACACAATGGTCATTTTGAAGCACGTACGCATCAAAGCTAAAATTAATGAGATTTTCTTACTGTCCACGGCACGGTCGACTCTGTCCTTCATTCCTGCAACGGCTTCTTTAAGTTCTTCTTGCAATTTTTGAGCCTTTATAAAACAAGAATTCAAGTAAATACGTCGATTCAAACCTATTAATTTATATCAATATTCATACTATAAGTTGCTAAACTTCATTATTAGACAGTCTTGCTCAACTTACGGAGTCATTGCCAAAGTTCTTGTAAGAACTGTAGATCAGCGATCGCAATAGGCATTACAATTTAAACAATATAAGAATTTTGTCAAAAATATTTGAGTATTAATATAAAAGATTTTTTAACACTTTTTGTATCATTTCTTATATCCATTAGAATATATCAAATACTAAATTCTTTCTAAATCATTATCACTAGCAATACTTTATGTTATATAAATCTATGTTATCGCCATCGATCACTAAGTTATCGCTATATAAATTACTAGCTTGCCAGAGATACGTTGTGCTGCCTTTTTCGACGTCAATTTCATGTCCTCTTAAAAATTCCTAAATTTGCAAAAAAACTATCCTATCTCTCAAGTTGGACCAAACTGCACACGGTGTGCAAATTTGATTAAAATCGGTTGAGCAGTTTAGGATTCCATCACCACAGGCGGCGGTAGTCAGTAGTCACAAGTTGAGCCGCATGCTCATATGCCCCCTCTTATATAAAAAAATCATCAAATACAACGGTAAAGGCTCGGCCTTTTACGGAGTAATAAAAAAGGAAATACTTACATAACGGTAGGTGTGATAAAGCAACAAATCCGGATCGCCAGATAAATGTAGCTTATTTTCAACATATTGCAATCCCGGTAACAATATCTCGCTTTCATCTATGTATCGATAAATTACCGATTCCACCTGCGTTTGTTATAAAAAAATAGTGCACATTAAGTCACACTTGTGCTTTATTGATTTATGTTATTTTAAATTTAACAATGTTATTTAATCTGATTGGAATATACTCAAAAAGACGTATTTTTCTAATTTTGCACACCTTTCTGTACACGGTCCTGAGCCACCTGCATCCATCGACTTCCTGCATGTCTTACCAGGTCGTCACTCCATCTAGTGGAGGGTCGTTCTACACTTCGCCTACCGGTACGAGGCTGCCACTCGAAAACTTTTTTCCCCATCGGTTGTCGGTTCTTTGAGCTATATGGCCGGCCTATTGCTACTTCAGTTTACTAATCTGTTGGGCTATGTCGGTCACTTTGGTTCTACTGCGGATATTCTCATTTCTAAATTCTACAATATAGAATTTATTATATATTATATACAGAATATATTCAAAAAGACGTATTTCTCTGATTTTGACACAGATTTCTGGCAATGAAGCTTGACATATCAAAAATTAGATTAAAGTTATTATTATAATTTCAAAACACCTACCTTTACTTCCTACAAAATTGCTGAGCTTGTAGTTGAATAGACTAATTGCTTCATCATCATCATTATTACAGCCCTTCACAAATCCACTGCTCAACATAGGCCCCCCCAAGGAATGCCACAAAGCACGGTCCTAGCCACCTGCATCCATCGACTTCCTGCATGTCTTACGAGGTCGTCACTCCATCTAGTGGGGGGTCGCCCTACACTACGCCTATCGGTACGAGGCTGCCACTCGAACATTTTTCCCCATCGGTTGTCGGTTCTTCGAACTATATGGCCGGCCCATTGCCACTTCAGCTAACTAATTTTTGGGCTATGATGGTCATATCCTCATTTCTAAGTTTATCACGCAGAGAAACCCCGAGTATATCCTTTTATATTACGTGCTACCATCTGCTTGGCATCCTATAATTAATAAAATTAAATCCCAACCCAAGTATACAACCGCAAGACTTTAAGATACTATGAGTTCATACTGCATAGATCGAAACAAAAATTAATAATTTTAATCTATGGTAACCGCGGTTAACTATGACATCTGAACGTTGAACATCTCAGTCCTCCTCATGACCACGGGTGCTGTAAAATGCCCCGAAACGTCGGATATACGTAGGCGGTCCCATAATGAATTGGCCTAACTATGAACCAATGAAGGAAATGAAACGAAACCAATTTTATTTTTCAATATAATCACCATGAATACTAACACACTTCTGACATCTGTGAATCAACATCTCTAAACCTTTATAAAAATAATCACATTTTTTGTCCTCAAAATGACTGAAGACGGCCGCCTGCAACTCTTCATCGCTTGAAAATTTTCTTCCTCTCTTAAGTCCCGCTTTAAATTTGGAAATAATTAATACTCGGACGGGGCCATGTCTGGACTGTAGGGTGGATGTTGAACTTCTGTGAACCCGCATTGACGAACTGCATCCTTCGAAACACCAGCGGTATGAACAGGGGCGTTGTCATGGAGCAACAGGACACCTTTAGACAGCTTGCCTCTTCGTTTTTCCTTTATTTTGTCTCGTAATTTATATATTAAAGAAGCATAATATTCGCCGTTCACGACTGTATTACGTTCTTTAAAATCCACCATCAAAATGCCTTGAAAATCCCAAAATATTGTGCACATCAGTTTTTTAGTCGATTGTTGCACCTTTGCCTTTCTAGGGGGCTTTTCACCCTTATAACGTTCCATTGACTCGCGCTTGCTTTGTGGATCATAATACAAGATCATAGTTTCATCACCAGTCACTAGCCGCTCGATCACAGTCTTTGTATTTTCGCCACAAAGATCCAAAAATTCCGAAGCGCAGCGCACTCTTTCCTGTCTCTTTACCGCTGAAAGAAGTTTCGGTACCCATCTTGCACTCACTTTTTTCATGCGAAGATGTTCATGGATCGCGCGATGAACGGTACTCTTAGAGAGCCCAAGCCTTGCTGCAATTTTTCTAATCTTCAAACGGCGGTCACTCAGAACCTCCTCTTCGATAAGAGCAATCGTTTCGGGAGTGAGCACTTCCACAGGTCGACCGTCGTAGCTAAAGTCTTCGACGGTTTCTCTCCCGAGGCGAAACTCTTTCACCCAATTTTTCACTGTGCTATAGGAGGGGGCAGACTCCTTATACACGCCATCCAATCGTTCTTTTATTTGGGCAGGGGATAAACCTTCTTTAAACAGAAACTTTATGACACTTCGATACTCAGTTTTCGACATTTTGAAAAAATACGCGACTCTCGTTATTCAAATGCTTGTTAAACTAAGACTAAGCATTTCATGTCGATGCATGTTTCTTATATTAAGTGCATGATAAACGTACTATTTAATGCAACACAACATGTAGCGACATGTCGCGTTGAACTATATCAGGCCAGTTCATTATGGGACCGCCTGGTATGTAAAAGTTATATAAAAAAAGGTATATAAAATCCGTAAAAACCTAGTATTAATTAGATCTGCTCTTTCACACAATAACCACGGGACGAAATAGAATGATGAAGTCTCCAACGCTGCCACCACTAAGTTAAAGGTTACAATAGAGAAAATCCAACTTAGCATAAACAGCAAATGCAGCAGCTACAGTCGCCAGGAACACCGCGCCCCAAAACGCACTGTCATCCTTTGGTTTAGGCTTCGGCGGCGGAAGAGGCAACGGACATGTCTCTCTTTCTCTGGAGCGGTTATACTTAAGATGTGGTGAGGACTGGCTCGCCCTTACTAGATGGAAGTCAATCCTTTTAGGACTCTGTAGAAAAGAAAATACATATTTTGTTCAATAATTTGACACACAAGACAATTTCACCGATATATAAAGGCCTCTCTCATATTTTGCCTCAAAATACGGTCCTGAGTCACCTGCACCCAAAGACTACCTATATATCATCAGGTACACGTATATCGTAATTTTCCGAACGGTGGAAATTCGGGAAATTACGACACATCTTCTCGACAGGTATACTTCAAATTCTGAAAACTAGATTGTACAACCAGTGCGTGTTGCCAGTGATGACTTACGGATCTGAAACGTTTCCTTCACTGTTGGCCATATGAGGACGCTCAAGTTTGCTCAGCGAGCTATGGAGAGGGCTATGCTCGGAGTTTCTCTGCGTGATAGACTCAGAAATGAGCATATCCGCAGTAAAACCAAAGTGACCGACATAGCCCAACGGATTATTAAGCTGAAGTGGCAATGGGCCGGCCATATAGCTCAAAGAACCGATAACCGATGGGAAGAAAGGTTCTCGAGTGGCAGCCTCGTACCGGTAGGCGTAGTGTAGGGCGACCCCTCACTGGATGGAGTGACGACCTGGTAAGACATGCAGGAAGTCGATGGATGCAGGTGGCTCAGGACCGTGCTTTGTGACATTCCTTGGGGGAGGCCTATGTTCAGCAATGGACTTGTGAAGGTCTGTGATGATGACGATGATGATACATACATCACCAGGTAGTCACTCCATCTAGTGAGGGGGGTCGCCTAATACTGTGCTTGCCAAAAGAGGCTTCGCTTTTTCCTTTCATTTTTGCTTTCGGTTGTCGACACTTTGAGCTGTATGGCCATTCCATTGCCACTTCAGCTTACTGATCAGCTGTTCTATGTCAGTTAATCTTGTTTTCCTTCTGATATCCTCGATAAGAACAATATCCCGCAGAGATATTATTTTTCAGACAATCATAAAGTTAGTAAACTTGGAAAATTTTAACGGTTATCCCAGGTAGTCAGGTAAACGAGCAAGCTATAATATGCTGTGTTTATCACAGAGTTTGGGTGTCTATTAAGCGAGTGCTTAATAGAATTGCATTAGATTTAAAGTTTAATCGGTCAGTGTTGAACTGGTAATTGACGTTCGTTATAAGGTTTTTAGTTTTGTATTTAGAGATTGACTCAGTAGCATAGTGACGGTGATGCACGCCACAGGTTTGTATACCGCTTGTAAAGATTTAAACGACCTACAAATAACTGTAGCGTGATGTTTGTTCAATGTCATGTATAATTCTTCGACTTAATCACCGTGCTTAATATTATTGATCAATGAGGGATAACGTTGTAATAGCCCCCCATTTCAATGTTTTAATGAAAAACTCTAAATAAGTTGTATTGTGAGGAACATTATAACCCTCTTAAAGTCCTGAGAAACACGAGAGTAAAATAGTCGAAAAAGGACAATCACTTTTTTTATAGGATAAGGGTGACAAACGAGCACACAGTCCACCTGATGGGAAGTGGATACTGTGGCCCATACACACCTCCAGACATAACCTCGATTAAGTATCAAAATGCAGATGCTTTGTCACCCTTGAAGACTAAGATGGAATGCCTCGATTCCAGTAAAACGGGTCTCCGGTTCTCTACACTCATCATATGAAACATAGCAGTACTAAGGTGCTATTTTACGCTGGTATTCTGTGAGAGCGTGGTCCTACCCCGGTCGAGCCGAACCATTCTTGCTACTACCATAATAGCTGCAGCGTGGCTCTACCACGTATATACTTGCAAGCATCTATCGCCATCATAAGCCCCACGATGAATTACGAATCTTTTGACTAATCTCATCATGAAATTCCTATTTAAATATACTTTGTCTTATTATAGTTCTCTATGTAGTGACTGCGTAAAAAAATCCGCCACCCAATGTTATCCCGTGGATTCTCGTTAGAGGCGAGGCGACATAACGAAAAGGAACAGTAGGTGGACAGACCCTGATAACTACTCTAAATGAAAAAGTCCGGCAGCCAACCCGCTTAACTTTGCCCTATATAGTATGTTATCTATGGTGGAAACTGCTGAAAACATTTATCCTGTACCTTTAAACGAGCAATGCTTGTATATATATATATATATATATATATATATATATATATATATATATATATATATATATATATATATATATATATATATATTTCGGAAACAGCTCCAACGATTTTCATAAAATTTAGTGTCCAGGGAGTTTCGGGGGCAATAAATCGATCTAGCTAGGACTTATTTTTAGAAAATGTCTTTTTGTCCGTGTTTTCAGGCAATAAAAAACTGCTACAATATAAGAAGGTAAATTTTGATATTATAACAATGATCGTAATAGCTCAAGTGGATATCGAACGGTCGCAAAATCGATTTTTTTTTCCTTTTTTTTCAAGTTCCCTTCTTTCGAGAAAATCTTTTATTTCGAGCCCTTTTTTTTAGTATTTTTTAAAAATAGGAAAATTTTAATTAAACTAATTGCACTCATGATTTTTTATTCAAATAACCAGTTCAGTTATTTCTATTATGTCAATAAGATCAAAAAATATTATTCATCAGTACGTAATTTGTATCTAAATGTTATTTCAAAAAAACTGAGCAAAGCTCGGTCATCCGGGTACTTTTAGTTATGCAAGTAGTGAAAATAAAGTATTATTATTATATAGTTTGCCATGTGGTGGCATTGAAAAAAAACCTACCACTCCATCTCTTCCTGTAGGTGCCATAAGAGTCAGATAAGTCCCAATCCCTGGGTAAGATGCGCCCAGACAAGTCTACTGAGCATGACGTCTCCCATTATAGAAAGCGATTTGCGTTGTCAGTATTTTTTTATATTATAAATTAAATTTTAATTTTGCAAAAGAAAAGTAATGCGTGTTTTCCATTTTAGTCACGGTTATTGATATAACAATGAAACAGTCAGTCAATCAACAATGAAAAAGTCGAGATCCTTTTCTCATGATAGATATCGGACTAATTTGTGTACCCCAGTAGTGTAATTAATAATGATAATAATAATAATGTCCTCCAGACCGAATTTCGGCCACGGCGGCCTGCCTCAGCGAAGGCTAGCCATCGTATTCGCAAGCACAGGTGCACTCTCTATTCTCTCACTCTAATAATCCGATGGGACAGTAAACAGACACGACCGGAGAGAGATCAGGCGAAGGACCAACGGCTTTACGTGTTTTCCAAGGCACGGGGGTGAGACACCGCCAACTTTCTGACTCCGGGCAACTACTGAGAATTTCTTGACGGAAAAACTCAAGGCCTGACCCGGGATTCGAATCCAGGACCTCATGATCAGCAGTCGTGCTACTACAACCACTAGACCAACGAGGCAGTCACTGTGTAATTAATTACCAGACTGACGGCGGAGAGCAACGTCAAAGTAGTGAGACATCTTGTAACGATCACCAACTTGTTTGGCGAACGTGGCGATTACAGATCGATACTGGTGTTTCTTACAATGGAAGAGACCAATGTTCAGCAGTGAATAATTTCGTACCCATAAAGATTTATGGAATAAATCAAAAAGCATCCGTCGCGCTATTACGATGTTGGGGGCCTCCGCATATCCTCAAAATATTATAATTTCTCAAATAAGCTAATGTACCGTAAATTTGTATAAATCAGTTTTTATAAACCCTCGATTACAATTTAATGTAGTTTTTTTTAAATGTGTGAGTGACAAACGAGTACACACCAGTTTTGCTAAGTGGACGCTGTGGCCCATAGACATCTACATTTATCCTCGATTAAAAATCAAAATGCAGATGCGTTGTCAATCCTGAGGACTAATGTAGAATCCCTCGCTTCCAGTAAAAAGGGTCTTCGGTTCTCTAAAAACTTATTTTCTTTAATAGTTAACACTTTATTTATCTAAGAGATTCATTACATACCAGAACACTTCCATTTTGTAGCAAACGCCTTGCTATCCTTATCATTTCGCCTTATTCGTTTATTTTAAAATCAAACATAGATTTTGTTTGCTTTCTTAAAAAGTCTTTTAAAATTATAAAATATACATTGTTGCACAGAACACTATTACTCCTATCGGAGCATTGTTGTGACATACGTATTTGTCAGAAGTTGAAAAAGAAATTGTGACAAAACAAAGAATATATAAATCATTATGTTTTAAAATAAACCAGCCATGCAAACTATTTAATGATACCTACCTTCTGGCCGGTTTTGATCACAGCCAATAAACCTATCCAACAAATTTGTTTTTATTGTGCGAACAGCTTTACTGGTCTAACCAAATCAGTTTCACTGCGGTCAGTATGATCTATTGTGATCACTGCTATGACTTTACTTCACTATTAAGCCCTATCTTTACAACGCATTGAAGAAGATGCTAGTTGTGAGCATTTTCACTTCTTCTGAAGTACATAATTTTCCAAATGAGTGTTACGTTTGCGGGTTAAGTACAAGCATTTAGTGAGGATGTGCAAAGGTGTTTCTTCCGTTAAGGAACAGAATCGTCACATGGTAGAATAAGGTATTTTGCAGCATGTATTTACGATAGGTTTTGTAGAAAGTCAACGAGAATGGTTGATTTCTTTCCATAAAAAATTAAAAAATTTTTCATCCAATTTTAAGAATATTTTTTACCTGTGCCTCAAATGAAAAAAATGCGTGCTATCAACTATACTAGATACTGCCGTGACGTCACTTCGATAGTAAACAATTCGATGGAGTATAGAGGTTAAGAAGGACAATCTCCCATAGGAGAATAGTTGAAAATGTATCCAGTAAATAACAGTTCAAAAACTCTCCACAACAGCGCTCGAGTAGCTACAGGGTATAGGTAGCTATGATAAATCGCCATAAAATACGTTGAGAGTGATTTTGAAAATAAAAATTTTAAGAAGAAGTATGGTGAAAGTCTGTGCAATAAAAAATGATAAAAAGTTCTTTAAAATTTAGACTGTAGCTACAGTGGCGCCACCCTTATTTAACGCTTTCCTACGGACTTTTTGACGAATTTCTCAAGTTACCATCACGATTGTTGACTTTTATTACATATTTTATTGAAATGGCATCATGGAAAACGGATTCATAAAAGCACAAAGTACTAATCTGGATAAAAGGAAAGGATAAATACATTGATGGTGGCAATTTTTTTGCATGCAATACCGATTTTCGTTCTGCCGTGTTGAGGAACGTTAAAACATCACTGTAAGTACCTATTACCAACTTTTGTATATACCATGAAGGTTAGAGAACAGGAAAACGATCACTACGTACTAAAGTATAGCCCGTCTGTCCTTGAAAATTGTAGATTTTATAGCGGCCCTGACGTCTGTGAGTAGTGACTGCGAAGTTAGCTGTTTTTTTAAAGAATATTAACAATGCTATAAACATTACTAATATTCTCTTGGTAAGCTTAAATTGCTTGTGTTACGCGTGGTTCACGCCAGTAGTCGAATGGCGGATTCGAACCCACGACCTTTTTGAGTTCGCGGTCCGCGCCCTGCTATTAGGCTACTGTCGCTTCAAATATTTATGAGTACAGGTAGATGAAGTTAGTTGAATAATGTACAGATTTTCTTCGCGGCATTGGTGTGAAGATTTTCATGCTCCGTAATTTTGTAATTTTTGAGAAAAAGAAACATTAAAAAATATTTTATTGCGTGGATTCGCAAGTGGTTTAGCATCTGATCTGAAAAATAGACTGACTTTGTTGACCGATTTTAGCGATCACAGCGCCTCACTTATGGTTTCCATATTTCTGGGACACTATTTTCTACGGCGATCATTCTCCTGTTCTCTAACCTTCATGATATATACAATGACACAATACCATATCAAAGTGTCTTTTGATAATATACAGTGTGTCCGGTCACGGACTAGCGATATTTTAGGTACTTATAATACAGCTATTTTAATATAAAAATACACTACACACTGAGGTCTAATCCCCTCCCCCTCTATTTGGCAGCCATTTTGTTTTTTCTCTTGAGATATTCTCTACGCGTTTACGAAAAAAGTCATATCTCTGAAAGTTTTAGTCTTACTGAGATAAAAATTAACTCATTCGGAGGCCAATAATATTGTTTATCGTTTATATTATCAAAATTTTTGTTGACATACTTGTAACTTTGAAGAAAAAAAAATTTAACTTCAAATAAATATCAAAAAAATATGCTAATCGGCAAATTATTGTAAATTACTGCAAAAACAACCCCGTTCTCCCTTTTTATTTTTATACTAGATCGACAGATTTTGAGTTAAGCTACAATGCAACATAAAGTTTACAGCTGTATGTTTATTACTTCAAGAATTACGCCATGTTCAAATAACAACAATTCTTAAAGTAATAAAGATACAGCTGTAAACTTTATGTTGTATTGTAGCTTAACTCAAAATCTGTCGATCTAGTATAAAAATAAAAAGGGTGAACGGGGTTGTTTTTGCAGTAATTTACAATAATTTGCCGATTAGCATATGTTTTTGATATTTATTTGAAGTTAAATTTTTTTTTCTTCAAAGTTACAAGTATGTCAACAAAAATTTTGATAATATAAACGATAAACAATATTATTGGCCTCCGAATGAGTTAATTTTTATCTCAGTAAGACTAAAACTTTCAGAGATATGACTTTTTTCGTAAACGCGTAGAGAATATCTCAAGAGAAAAACAAAATGGCTGCCAAATAGAGGGGGAGGGGGATTAGACCTCAATGTGTAGTGTATTTTTATATTAAAATAGCTGTATTATAAGTACCTAAAATATCGCTAGTCCGTGACCGGACACACTGTATATACATAGTTATGTTTATCTATGATTACAATCTCATACCTATAATTTGTTGCAATACTTTGTATAAACGATAGTTTTTATCTGTGAAGATCACTTTGATCTTGCTACATATTTATTTATCTATGACTTTGATGTAAGTCATACTTACATCAAAGTAGTATCCATAATAGTGTTCTGTGGTAGTATCTGTCTGTGCATCAAAGTGATATTCACAGAAGTATAGTCTAGTTCAAAGACTACAATATTATATACGGAAAGTCTAGTTTTTGTAAACAATATCTTCGGGTCCCTTCTGGCCAGATTTAAAAGACCGTATATTGCTCTTTTGGTGATATTGAGCGATCTGGATCTCGGTATCTACATATAAGTCTTAAGAGTTTGCTATTTGGACACATTAAACTTGGACTTATAATCTACAAATCTGTTGAAGCGAAAACACGATTCGATAAAGAATTATCGATAGAAAAAAAAAATACGGAAAAAAACTCGTTTTGCTCTTACTTTGAGTTAGATCTCTGAAACCTTAAGGAATTGAATGATGATTTTTAACATAATAGATAGATAATAATAAATAATAAATCTCAAATCGTGACGACTTATTTTTTTATTTTTCTACGTAGTCTTCTCGTAATTAGCAATTATGTGATTTGGCGCTTCGCTTGAGTTATTTTATTCTAAACGAGCACACTCTCTAGCTGTCTCTTGTTTTGCACGCGGTAGGTAATAGCGCTATACTTTTCAATTTTTTCAATGATTCTATCTAATTTCTCTAGTATATATACAGTAATCTATGATCCAATTCCATCAGTCTGCTGCGGCATCTGTAGCGGGATGAACCTATCTTTGGCGATATTAGAAAGACAATTTCCAGTATAAGCTGATCTCGCATTGTATTTTCGGCTTTCTGTACAATGAGAGGTCAGCTTATACTAGAAAATTTAGCTTGAGTAGCCGCTAGTATGAACAATGAAAAGGGACGTGGGGGCGAAATTAGAATATGAACTGAGGTAGTATGGGCTCTTTCTTAAACAAGTATTTCTCATATTTGAATCAGTTGGCACTTAAATCTATAACTTCCCGTTCTTATGCTCGTATGTTTGCATTCAGGCACAACACACCAATGATGAATACATGAACACTCATGCCTGTCACCAGAGGGGGTAGGCAGAGACTATAGACTTCCATTTGGCACGATCCTAGCACACCTCTCTCACCTCCACCACATCCATATACCTACCATTGCTACATACAACCATTGCTCGTTGGCTAAGGATAGAGGGGTAAGTCCTTTATCACAAAAAATGACGTCCTTATAGAATGGATCATCCGATCTCGCCAGGAAGTAAAGCGCTCAGGAAGCCACGCCCACCATGCTTTCGCGGCAAGTACAGCCTAATGAGGCTGTACTGACCGTCGGTAATGACCGACGATCTCGGATGATGCATCCTATGGGACGTCTTGGTAGTGCGGACTTTTCTATGCAGGGCGTTAAGTTCAGTCTGAGTCCACCTGAGTATGCCAAAGGTATACATGAGGACAGGCATGACCCAGCCGTTATATGCGTGTGCCTTATTCACACCGGACAAAAGGCTGTTAAGCACTTTGGTCAAGCGTGCATAAAACATGTCGCAAACTGACTGTTTCATACCAGCCTCATCGATACCGATGTTCTATGACATACCCAGGTATCGGTATGTTTCAGCCTCGGAAAGGGTTCTTAAGTTGATGGGCATAGATAAGTCTATGCCCTCAGAGTTAGCAACCCTTCCCCTTTCAACATGGAGGACCGCACACTTATCCGTCCCCAGATCCATTCCAATGGAATTGCTAAATTCACAAGTGATGTTTAGCAATTCCATAAGATGGGAGCGACTGGAGGCGAATAACTTGAGGTTATCCATATAGAAAAGGTGGGTCACTTTTGTCCCTCCTTTCCGTAGCTGAAATCCCCTCCCGGAGCCCTCCAGTAAGGTACTGAGAGGGTTCAGAGAGAGGCAGAACCAGATTGGACTCAGACAATCGCCCTGGAAGATACCCCTTCTTATCCTTATGTGGTTCTCCGCAGCCATCATCCGCTCGCCCAGATAACAAAGGATCGTACTCCACTGCCCCATACACTGCTCAAAGAAGTCTCTAACGGTCTATCTTGTATAGCTCCAGGACTCTCTTTAGCCATGTATGGGGCACCGAGTCGAATGCCTTTCTGCCGGGCTAGCATGAGCAGGGGATAAAATTTTTATCCACCGATTATATCCACTGACAAGGGATAAAATTGTCTTCTCCCTATGTCAAAGCTTTATCCACCCTGCGAGCATGGGCCTATGGTAGATATAATATCGACAGTAGATAAACTTATCCCCGCGCATAGATAATATACGATAGCAAAGATGTTTTATAAAATATCTTTGTAGGTACGATAGTATAAAGCTATAAACTATACTAGCTATAAACTTCTTTTAAGATTAAGTAAATTTACATTAAGTTATATTTTCTTTTACCTTTTGTTTATTATATTGCTAAACTGTTAATAATTTTTGTTAAACAATATGTGATTTATAATATTTGTTATATTTATTTTAAGCGTATTTCTGCCTTCTTTTTATTTTTTCTATTATTCTAATTCTTTCTTTATTTTCTTTTGTATAATATTTAAGTTAAGTATACATTGCTTGTATCGAATCGCAGGTATTACTTCGCTTGTGATAGCATTTATTAAAAAATGTGTCTAGAATTAAGCCAATTGCGAAACTGGACAATACAGACCCTTTGGAGGTGGTGTAACCTCTTGAGGAAATTAAAAAAAAATTATCCCCGCAATTACTGCCATTATAAGAAAATTACAAAATACATCAAAATTGATGTCTACTCTAAGTCACAAAGATTTAATTTTAATTGAAAATGATGAAGCATGAAGAATAAAAATGTAATGATTTCAAACAAAACAAGGAATAAATAATTTTATAATCAATCATGAGTATAGTATATTTAGCAAGCTTTGCTAAAGAATTAATATATTTCTTAATTTAAACCTTTGAATTGTAACTTTACTAAGTTTGATAACTTTATTTTAAAACGTTATAATACTTACCTAAAATATAGTATAGACCGATTCTATTATCATTAAATTTGACTTGACCACGGACTCGCCTTGGGTATTATTGACACAACCTATGTAACTAAATCATGGCATTGAGCTATTGAGACTTTTTTGGACAAGGTGGTTGTAATAGATGCTTACTTCAATATGCACTGGTAGTCCATCCACAGAATTAATAGGCTTTAAAGCCTCATAGAGTTCTTTACACAAATACAAAACAATCTTTGAGCATCCGAAACCGGCGTAGAAATTCGTTGTCGGAGAATTCCAATAGATTAAGTATTCTGATCACGTATCGATCGCTGATGTAATTCTCTTTCTTGTTTTTCAATTTCTGACACGAAAATGTAGTTGCAATAGGCTCGAGACATCTTTTTTGTATAAAATGGTTTGAAGATAAACTTAAACCCACGTCCGCGAGAGGATAAAATTGTCCCTTTCAAATGTCAAAAAGGGATAATTTTTTCTCTTTCCCTTGGCCCCATGCTACGGACGGGGAGATATATGTCCACTCGTTATGTCAAACGGGGATATACTATAGAGATAAGATAATTTTATCTCTTGTCAGTGGATATAATCGGTGGATATAATTTTTGTCTCTTGCCCATGCTCGCAGGGTGGATAAAACTAAGCAAGGGATAAAAATTATATCCTCTCTCCGGAGATATATTCTCTCCGGCACATGCTAGCCCGGCTGTAGTCTATCTAGGCTGCGGAGAAGTTCCGACGGTTGTGTTTCACCACTTTGCCAATGACGGCGTCAATGAGGAGTGGTTCCTTGGTTCCACAACCACCGCCACACATCCATTTTAAGCGCGCGACATCGCCTGATTTGAGTCCAAGTGATTCTCACGCTCAAAATGGATGTTGGTGTCTTGTATATGGTCGGTAGACACGTGATGGGGCGGTATTTGCTCGGGTCTGTGGTACCCTGGTCTTTAGGAACCAAATGGGTGATCCCAGTACTGAAGAGGCTTGGGAGCGACTTCTGGTTGAGAGCCTCTTGAAATTGTCGGGCGAGCACAGTGTGACACACCACGAACCCCTTCAGCCAGTAGTGATGCAGCCCGTCGAGTCCCGGACTTTTCCAGTTCGGGGCCCGCCCGCACCGCCTCAGCTACGTCATCCGGTGTTATAATGACGAAGTCCATGGGCTTTACACTCGCACACTGACTCGCAACAACTTCCTTCCAAGGGCCCTCGCTGTGGTTTACGGGCTCTGATCACAGGCCGCGCCAGAATGCTACAGTGTCGGCTTGATTCGGTGCTGGGCTCGTTCCACTTACCATTGGTCGCTCCAATGATTCATAGGGCCTCTTCTGATCACTCTGGAAGAGACGATTCTGGTTGAACCGTGTCGACCTCTCGGTATATCGCCGAATCCGCTTTCCCCAAGCAGCGATTCTCTGCTTCAGATCATCTATACGCTCCGTCAGTTTTTGCGTTATATCCAGCTGGGACAAACTGACATTTGTCCAAGCAAACGCCATCCTGACGGAGCGCACAATTCTTGGCCTGTTATTGCCTGATCTGAAGCATATCAGTCTGCCGATGAGAGCTCTAGCCTTTGCGATACGTTCCTCAATTCTTCTTCTCCATGCTGGGATAGCGCTACTTTGGCCAGTAGCACGTCCAGCCGTGGAAACCTTGGCAACTATGATACGGCAGACTGCCAGCGCGGCACCAAAAAGAATTGAGTCCGTCTCGCAAAGGTCCCGGCTGGCTTCCAAATAGGTCACCAGCATTGGGTTCAGAGCCCTCACGACAGTCCGATTCCGCTTGCTTAGGGCTATGCGGAGAAGTCGCGGTCGATTTTCGAGAGGCGTACTGCGCGTTTCCACAATCGCCTCTTCCAATGTACTCCTCATATGCTCTAATTCCAATATTATTATTTTATTATTATTATTGTGGGGTATCTATATAGTTTTCTCATCTGGTTGGGTTCTATAAATATATAATTATAAATGAAAATGAAAAGATAAATATACATAAATATCAATAACATAAAATAAATATAAAAATACATAAATAAATAAAAGCCCAACCAGATGGAGGCCCTCGGCAGGGGAGACCAAACGGCCGAGGGTTAGGGGGAAAGGGAAAGAAACCGGCGGACGATGCGGGCGGTATCGAGGAGCACCGCCTTCTGCATTTGAGCCCGGAGCGGTCCGCCACGTAGTCCCAGTCGCCTCAGATGACGCGAGAGGTTTTATTACTCCTAGGCAGGCAGTGCCAGTTGTCATTTAACAAAGGTCTTTTGTTTTTGCGTATATGCTATGTTCAAACAACAACAATTCTTAAAGTAATAAAGATACAGCTGTAAACTTTATGTTGTATTGTAGCTTAACTCAAAATCTGTCGATCTAGTATAAAAATAAAAAGGGTGAACGGGGGTTGTTTTTGCAGTAATTTACAATAATTTGCCGATTAGCATATTTTTTTGATATTTATTTGAAGTTAAATTTTTTTTCTTCAAAGTTACAAGTATGTCAACAAAAATTTTGATAATATAAACGATAAACAATATTATTGGCCTCCGAATGAGTTAATTTTTATCTCAGTAAGACTAAAACTTTCAGAGATATGACTTTTTTCGTAAACGCGTAGAGAATATCTCAAGAGAAAAACAAAATGGCTGCCAAATAGAGGGGGAGGGGATTAGACCTCAATGTGTAGTGTATTTTTATATTAAAATAGCTGTATTATAAGTACCTAAAATATCGCTAGTCCGTGACCGGACACACTGTATATACATAGTTATGTTTATCTATGATTACAATCTCATACCTATAATTTGTTGCAATACTTTGTATAAACGATAGTTTTTATCTGTGAAGATCACTTTGATCTTGCTACATATTTATTTATCTATGACTTTGATGTAAGTCATACTTACATCAAAGTAGTATCCATAATAGTGTTCTGTGGTAGTATCTGTCTGTGCATCAAAGTGATATTCACAGAAGTATAGTCTAGTTCAAAGACTACAATATTATATACGGAAAGTCTAGTTTTTGTAAACAATATCTTCGGGTCCCTTCTGGCCAGATTTAAAAGACCGTATATTGCTCTTTTGGTGATATTGAGCGATCTGGATCTCGGTATCTACATATAAGTCTTAAGAGTTTGCTATTTGGACACATTAAACTTGGACTTATAATCTACAAATCTGTTGAAGCGAAAACACGATTCGATAAAGAATTCTCGATAGAAAAAAAAATACGGAAAAAAACTCGTTTTGCTCTTACTTTGAGTTAGATCTCTGAAACCTTAAGGAATTGAATGATGATTTTTAACATAATAGATAAATAATAATAAATAATAAATCTCAAATCGTGACGACTTATTTTTTTATTTTTCTACGTAGTCTTCTCGTAATTAGCAATTATGTGATTTGGCGCTTCGCTTGAGTTATTTTATTCTAAACGAGCACACTCTCTAGCTGTCTCTTGTTTTGCACGCGGTAGGTAATAGCGCTATACTTTTCAATTTTTTCAATGATTCTATCTAATTTCTCTAGTATATATACAGTAATCTATGATCCAATTCCATCAGTCTGCTGCGGCATCTGTAGCGGGATGAACCTATCTTTGGCGATATTAGAAAGACAATTTCCAGTATAAGCTGATCTCGCATTGTATTTTCGGCTTTCTGTACAATGAGAGGTCAGCTTATACTAGAAAATTTAGCTTGAGTAGCCGTTAGTATGAACAATGAAAAGGGACGTGGGGGCGAAATTAGAATATGAACTGAGGTAGTATGGGCTCTTTCTTAAACAAGTATTTCTCATATTTGAATCAGTTGGCACTTAAATCTATAACTTCCCGTTCTTATGCTCGTATGTTTGCATTCAGGCACAACACACCAATGATGAATACATGAACACTCATGCCTGTCACCAGAGGGGGTAGGCAGAGACTATAGACTTCCATTTGGCACGATCCTAGCACACCTCTCTCACCTCCACCACATCCATATACCTACCATTGCTACATACAACCATTGCTCGTCGGCTAAGGATAGAGGGGTAAGTCCTTTATCACAAGAAATGACGTCCTTATAGAATGGATCATCCGATCTCGCCAGGAAGTAAAGCGCTCAGGAAGCCACGCCCACCATGCTTTCGCGGCAAGTACAGCCTAATGAGGCTGTACTGACTGTCGGTAATGACCGACGATCTCGGATGATGCATCCTATGGGACGTCTTGGTAGTGCGGACTTTTCTATCCAGGGCGTTAAGTTCAGTCTGAGTCCACCTGAGTATGCCAAAGGTATACATGAGGATAGGCATGACCCAACCGTTATATGCGTGTGCCTTATTTACACCGGACAAAAGGCTGTTAAGCACTTTGGTCAAGCGTGCATAAAACATGTCGCAAACTGACTGTTTCATACCAACCTCATCGATACCGATGTTCTATGACATACCCAGGTATCGGTATGTTTCAGCCTCGGAAAGGGTTCTTAAGTTGATGGGCATAGATAAGTCTATGCCCTCAGAGTTAGCAACCCTTCCCCTTTCAACATGGAGGACCGCACACTTATCCGTCCTCAGCTCCATTCCAATGGAATTGCTAAATTCACAAGTGATGTTTAGCAATTCCATAAGATGGGAGCGACTGGAGGCGAATAACTTGAGGTCATCCATATAGAAAAGGTGGGTCACTTTAGTCCCTCCTTTCCGTAGCTGAAATCCCCTCCCGGAGTCCTCCAGTAAAGTACTGAGAGGGTTCAGCGAGAGGCAGAACTAGATTGGACTCAGACAATCGCCCTGGAAGATACCCCTTCTTATCCTTATGTGGTTCTCCGCAGCCATCATCCGCTCGCCCAGATAACAAAGGATCGTACTCCACTGCCCCATACACTGCTCAAGGAAGTCTCTAACGGTACAGTCTATCTTGTACAGCTCCAGGACTCACTTTAGCCATGTATGGGGCACCGAGTCGAATGCCTTCTATCCAGGCTGCGGAGAAGTTCCGACGGTTGCGTTTCACCACTTTGCCAATGACCGCGTCAATGAGGAGTGGTTCCTTGGTTCCACAACCACTGCCCCGACATCCATTTTGAGCGCGCGAATCACCTGATTTGAGTCCAGGTGACGAGTGATTCTCGCGCTCAAAATGGATGTTGGTGTCTTGTATATGGTCGGTAGACACGTGATGGGGCGGTATTTGCTCGGGTCTGTGGTACCCTGGTCTTTAGGAACCAAATGGGTGATCCCAGTAGTGAAGAGGCTTGGGAGCGACTTCTGGTTGAGAGCCTCTTGAAACTGTCGGGCGAGCACAGTGTGACACACCACGAACCCCTTCAGCCAGTAGTGATGCAGCCCGTCGAGTCCCGGACTTTTCCAGTTCGGGGCCCTACGGACCGCCTCAGCTACGTCAACCGGTGTTATAATGACGTTGTCCATGGACTTTATACTCGCACACTGACTCGCTACAACTTCCGTCCAAGGGCCCTCGCTGTGGTTTACGGGCTCTGAGCACAGGCCGCGCCAGTATGCTACAGTGTCGGCCTGATTCGGTGCTGGGCCCGTTCCACTTACCATTGGTCGCTCCAATGATTCATAGGGCCTCTTCTGATCACTCTGGAAGAGACGATTCTGGTTGAACCGTGTCGACCTCTCGGTATATCGCCGAATCCGCTTTCCCCAAGCAGCGATTATCTGCTTCAGATCATCTATACGCTCCGTCAGTTTTTGCGTTATATCCGGCTGGGACAAACTGACATTTGTCCCAGCAAACGCCATCCTGACAGTGCGCACAATTCTTGGCCTGTTATTGCCTGATCTGAAGCATATCAGTCTGCCGATGAGAGCTCTAGCCTTTGCGATACGTTCCTCAATTCTTCTTCTCCATGCTGGGATAGCGCTACTTTGGCCAGTAGCACGTCCAGCCGTGGAAACCTTGGCAACTATGATACGGCAGACTGCCAGCGCGGCGCCAAAAAGAATTGAGTCCGTCTCGCAAAGGTCCCGGCTGGCTTCCAAATAGGTCACCAGCATTGGGTTCAGAGCCCTCACGACAGTCCGATTCCGCTTGCTTAGGGCTATGCGGGGAAGTCGCGGTCGATTTTCGAGAGGCGTACTGCGCGTTTCCACAATCGCCTCTTCCAATGTACTCCTCATATGCTCTAATTCCAATATTATTATTTTATTATTATTATTATTATTTTGTTTGAGCTCAGATTCAATAGTATAAATAAAACAAAACGGTGAAATAAAACTCATTCTCTAATTTTTAAATAACATTTTTAAATATTTACATAAGTTACTAAAATTACAGAAGGTTCATTAGTTAAATAGTAATTAGTAACGTCACTACGTTGAAAATTTCGTTATATTTGCGACAGTCTGACATAAATGCAAGGTCGAATGATGAAAAATATAACATTTTGTTTATTCATTTATTTTTTTAAATTGTTTTTCAAAGATGAGACATCGTACATCAATCTTCATTTACAAAAGTACACTTTACTCTATATTTAATTAGTGCATAAATTAAAATGATGAATCAAAATTAAGATGTCTAATGTTGAAAAATCATTGTTTTACAATAGTGTATAAATAGCAGAATATTTTCAAAAATACAAACATTTTAAATAACCGATCTGTACCGACCGATTGATGTACGATTGAATAAATTAAAAATTAAACAACAGAGGTGCGTCAGACTTGAAAACGTATCTCAATACCTAAGTGTTAGGGTTCATATTTCCCTCGATGGTCTGTACACGTAATCTCTTCGTTTTTCACGATGAAGACTTAAAAATAATTATATTATAATTATTTTATTTACTTATTTACATTTTTGATGTAAAATTAAAATTAAATATGAAATACCTTTGAAATAGTTATGATAAACAATAGAAAGGTAAGGACATTATACTCAATTTTTATGTTAAAATGTAATATATTTATTTTTTGTAAAAGGCAATTCCTTTTTTCCTAAGCAGACAGAAAATTTATTACAAAATATAATAGGGATATTTTAAAGTAGGTTTATTGTTCCATCAAAATATTTCAATAAAATCTTGTTGTAAAAGTTTAAACTCTTTGAACTTTCAAATAAAGTCCACAATACAATGATGTGAATTTACAAAACAAAAGCGCATTGTTAGCTGGTCAACCATAATGTTCCATTAAAACATTAACCTATTTTTGTTTAAAATAATACAACTTTGCAATAAACATGCAATTTTAATAAGCAAACAGTACCAACGTGAAAAACGAAACAGATTTGAATGTAAAAAGTCTACAAGTACAAAAGGCCGGATACAGAGGCGTGTGCCATTACCGCCTCAGCGGCTTGTCGCACTTCCAAGTGCTGTCGCGCGGCCGTGGCCCAGTGAGAAGCGGCCGCCCTCGGGGCGCCTTGCAACAGGTTCACATACCGTAGGGCCGATTGTAAATCACCGTGTTCCATGAAGTATCTGTAAATAATTATATTAGTAAAATAATTATGTAGCTTCGCACTGCTCATCATCATCATTACAGCCCTTCACAAGTCCACTGCTGAACATAGGCCTCCCCCAAGGTATGCCACAAAGCACGGTCCTGAGCCACGTACATCCATCGACTTCCTGCATGTCTTACCAGGTCGTCACTCCATCTAGTGGGGGGTCGCCCTACACTACGCCTACCGGTACGAGGCTGCCACTTGTGATCCTTTTTTCCCCAACGGTTGTCGGTTCTTCGAGCTATATGGCTGGCCCATTGCCACTTCAGCTTACTAATCTGTTGGGCTATGTCGGTCACTCTAGTTCTACTGCGAATATCCTCATTTCTAAGTTTATCACGCAGAGAAACTCCGAGCATAGCCCTCTTCATAGCTCGCTGAGCGACTTTGAGCGTCCTCATACGGCCAACAGTGAAGGACCACGTCTCGGTTCCGTAGGTCATCACTGGCAACACGCACTGGTTGCATAGCTTAGTTTTCAGGTTTTGAGGTATACCTGCACAGCTTACTAATTGCAAAGTATTTATGCATTCTTTTTACGTGGTAGCCATGTTGCAGTTGTATTGATATGTATCGATTCGACTGGGACTAGAACCACGTTCTCACAGAACACTAGCGTAAAATAGCAGCTTAATGTTGCTGTGTATTGTACGGTGAGGATTTTTTTTACAGCAATGGATGACAAAGGAGCACACAGTCCACCTGATGGTACAAGTGGATGCTGTGGTCCATAGACATCTACACCTATCCTCAATTAAGAATCAAAATGCAAATGCGTTGTCACCCCTGAGGACTAAGATGGACTAAGATGGCCTTGATTACAGTAAAAAGTCTCCGGATCCACATCCATGTAGAGACACACACCATACGAAACACAGCAGCATCAAGTTTCTATTTTACGCTGGTATTCTGTGAGAGCGTGGTTCTTCCCCGGTCGAGCCGACCTACTCGTGCTACAACTATAATATAACTGCAGCATGGTTCTACCACGTTAAAAGGATGGTGGAGAACCGGAGGCCCTTTTTACTGGAAATGAGAAATTACGTCTTAATCCACAAGAGGACAACGCATCTGCATTTTGATTCATAATCGATAATAGAATGTAGAGATGTCAGTAGACTTCAGCATTCGCTTCCCATCCTGTGGACTGTTTTCATTTATAACACACGATTATTCTATAAAAATACATTAAGATTAGCAAAAAAATTACAATCCAACTTTTTGAGTAGTATTTCGATTGTTATTATTTTATTTCACGATTAACGATGTCGATTTAAATAAATTAGTGTCGCCTAATAGTCGAAATTCGACCGTATTTCATTAAATTTTTACGAATGTATATTAAGCAACTCCATGTTATACACACACAGACATTTCGTATACAAAAATTAAAATAAACGCTTTTATGCCTTGACATGCACTCCATAGACTATTGAAAAAGGAACAATTCTGTGACAACAATTTCTACACTGTGTGACTGATCCCAGACTAGTATGTGTTTGACATTCGAAATATGAACATAATGTTTTTATTAATTTATTTAATGTACATATTTGTACATTAAATAAATTAATAAAAACTTTTTTCAAGCTACTGGACTGGAAAGGATACGGTATTAACATCAATGGCGAGTACATCACTCACCTTCGATTTGCCGACGATAGTCCTTATGGCAGATTCGCTGGAGGACTTAAGCACTATGCTCAATGACCTCAATTGTGCCTCCCAACGGATAGGTCTTAAGATGAACATGGACAAAACAAAGATCATGTTTAATGTCCATGTCACACCTACGCCGGTAGTTGTTGGGAGCACTAAGCTCGAAGTTGTTGACGAGTACGTTTACCTGGGACAAATAGTCCGGCTAGGTAGTTTAGTTTAGTTTAGTTTGCGACGGGCTGTTTTCCGCAACTCCACGTCTATGCGCGTATTTTGCGTGTGGGCAGGAATAATGTGATTATTCGAGCCATGAGATCTCCCCGAAGAAGCTCAACAGTTCCTTGATGTTGCATGCAACTTCGGGAAGTGATCCCGGCGTGCCGAGATGTTTAGCCCTGTACGTAGCGACCTCCGGACATTTCAGTAGCACGTGGGCCGCCGTTTCTTCCTCCCCCATACATGCCCTGCACAGGGGACTAATTGTAACACCTATAGTAAATAAATGTTTGTTAAAGATGCCGTGTCCTGTGATAGCACTTGTTACTATCCTGATCTGCGGCTTGTTCAGTCTCATTAGAACTTTGGTTAAGCGACTGTTTATTACAGGTAGGGCCTCCCTAGCTTGTCTACAGTCTACTAGATTTTTCCAAAGCTGAGCGTGTTGATTAGTGAAGTGTCTACGTACCATTGAACGAACGTTACCAAAGGGGATTGGTATGATTGGTTCCGGCCCTATAGTGGCCAGAGCCGATCCTCTTCTGGCCAGTTCGTCCGCTGCATCGTTGCCTCTGGATCCACTGTGTCCCTTTATCCATTGCAGAGTCACATTGTTGTTTTTACATACCTCATTTAATCGTTGATGGCATTCATATATTAGTCCCGAGTTCACCCCATTGCAACTCAGAGCTTGTAGTACCGCCCTACTGTCGGTCAGTATTCTGATGGAGAAGTCATTAACCTTCCTAGCATCTATTGCTATGGCCGCTTGAATGATACCCATACATTCCGCCTGAAAGACCGTGTTATAGGTACCCAGCGGTGTGCATATGTGAATATTGAGGTCTTCAGAGAAAGCTCCAGAACCTACACCTTCATTTGTTTTAGAACCATCGGTGAAAATTCTAAGCTCTTTTGGGCTTAATTCTTCCGGCTGGCTGTTTTCATTTAATTGTATCTTGTATTTCTTATCGAAAACAAATTGTTTAGGAATCCTATCGTATTTGGCTTGTAGGATAGGAATTTCTGAGTGAATTCTATCAATTATGCCTGTATGAGGGACACTATTCTTACTCCAAAGATTTAGGGTCTTGAGTCTGATGGCAGCTAAAGTCGCTTCTTGTTGTATATGTAGATGAAGCGGAGTTAGCTCCAGCATCGCTTCCAAGGCTGCTGTTGGCGTAGTTCTTATGCAGCCTGTGGCAGCCATACATGCCAGTCTCTGGTAGCGCTGAAGCTTCTTAATTGTGGTGGCTTCATTGGTCTTGGTCCACCATACCAGAGCGCCGTATGTGATCATGGGCCGAATTACAGTTTTGTAAAGCCACAGTATGATTTTTGGCGTCAGTCCCCATCTTTTGCCAATCATGTTTCTGCATTGCCAGAAAGTTATACTAGCTTTGTTGATTTTGTTTTCTATGTGTTTATTCCAGTTAAGTTTGCTGTCCAAGGTAAGACCTAAATATTTTACCTCAGAGGATAGCTGGAGTTTTGTGCTGAAAAGACTTGGAAGATGATAGTTATTCAGCATTCGTTTTCGTGTGAACATTACTAAAACCGTTTTATTTGGGTTGACGGTTAAGTCGTATTCCCTGCACCATCTCTCCACTATACGGAGAGCCGCTTGGGTCAGGTCGCACACTATGCTAGCTGTCTTTCCCGAGACCAGTAT